GAATGGCCCCAAAGCCACATGTCTTTAATCCCAGCACTCAAGAGGTAGGGCAGGTGCATCTTTGAATGGAACTCTTTGAAGGGATTACAAGGTTTAGTAGGAGTGGCATTTTTGGAAAAAGTGTGTCACTGGGGGGAAGCTTTGAAGTTTCAAAAGATCCTGTCAAGCCTAGAGTCACTCTTCTCTGCCTGTGGATCAGAATGTAGCTCTCAGCTACTGCTCCAGTGCCTGCCTGCCTGCTGCTGTGCTCCCACCATGATGATAATGGACTAAGTAAAACTGTAAGCAAGCCCCAAATGAATGGTTTTACAGAAGTTGAGTTGGTCATGGTGTCTCTTCACAGCTATAGAACAATGACTATGAGAAACTTTTCATTAATTACTCATGTGTAGTTTGTCTAGTTGCTGTCCATTTGCCCTTTCTTCTGCCATGTAAAAATCCATTCGCTCTAATACCCCAGATGGAATCCATGAATATCTGTGAGTTACCACAGTGCAAAGATGCCCGGCACCTGTGGCTAATTCCATGGGCTAATTCCTGCTCAACTATATCCTAGTTCCTCATGATGCCCAGAAACAGTAACTCAGGCTTCTTGGTATTGCTCAAATGCAAGTTGGATGAATTGAGTAGATGGTTTAGCTATTTAACTTCTGACAGTCAAAGAGCTGGGGATTTAATCAGTGTATGAATACACAGGCAAGAAGCTTTATTGCTTTCAGAGGCCCAGATTCCTAGTCTTCTCAGTGGAAGTCCTCGGGCAAGTCTTGATTCAGAAGCCAGGACCCTGCTCTGTTTAGAAGGACTATCAGAGATATTGGTAGTCTTAGTTAGGATTGTTATTGTTCTGATAAAACACCATGACCAAAAGCAACCTGGAGAGGGAAGGATTTGTTTCAGTTTAGTATTCTCAGGTCAACACAGTCCATTGTGGAGGGAGGCAGAACAAGATTACTAGGGAGGGTCCTGGAGCTAGAAACTGAAGCCAAGGTCATGGGAACACCACTGACTGGGTTGCTCAACCTGCTCTCTTACACAACTCAAGACTACCTGCCCATGGGTAGCACCACCACTAATGGACACCACATCAATTATTAATCAGGAAAATGCCCCACAGGCAATCTGATGGAGGTGGTTCCTCATTTGAGGTTCTCTCTTCCCAAATGACTCTAGCTAGTCTCAAGTTGACAAAACACTAGCCAGCACACTGGTGTATATGTGTCAAGTGTTAGACAATGAGTGCCATCCTGCAATAGTTAATAATTGTGTTTTTAACTACTGTCATAGTTCTGGAGAGATTTCAGTATTGTCTTTCAAAATATATTTTAAGACTTTAAAAAAGTGTGTGTGTGTGTGAGAGAGAGAGAGAGAGAGAGAGAGAGAGAGAGACAGACAGACAGACAGACAGACAGACAGACAGACAGACAGAGACAGAGATGTATGCATGTATATGACTGTAGAGATCATAAAAAGGGGATGAGATTCCTTGGAGCTGGAGTTACAGGTGTTTGTGAGCCACACAATATAGGTACTGGAAATAGAACTTGGGTCCTCTGTAAGAGCAGCAAGCTCTCCTAAGCACTGAGACCTCTCTCTAGCCTGTAAGTGTTATCTTTAGTGGAATGTGTCTATCTGGGCACTCTGAGATCTGTGGGAGTGAGTGCTCAGTCATCCTTTAGGAACTCGGTTTGCTACTCTATTGACCTTTCCTAGGACTATTTGGTCAGACTCTTTAATACATTAAAGGAATCAGATTGCCAAATCTCGCTGTCAGCTTCCTAACATTCTTTGATTTGAAAGACTTCGCCCTCCTGGAATTGTATTCTCATTGTCCCTGTGGCTGTTGCTTCTTCTAATTTGCTGCATGCCTATTTCCTCAACAAAGCATTGATCTCTGTCTACTTCTTAGGAGATGTGAAGCTGTTCCCAGTCTAAGAATGCCTCATGTTACCATCCTCCCAACAAAGAGCTAGGCAAAGCATTCTCCCGAGAATAAAATTCTGATGTTAGGGAATCTGATATGGAATATGTAGGCTATAACTCCCTTTACATGGCAAGACTGGGGGTATTTTCATAACTATGCAAGTGAGTGACACTTGTTCCTTTGGGAAGATATGCTAATGGCACAGTTGGGGGAGCAACAGCTATACTGCCTGTATTTCACAGCTTTTGTTTCCAGGGACCTTGACCTCCTCTAGGGGTCATCTGGATGTAGGGCAGACCATGATGTGCCTTGATCTCTGGTCCTCAGCCTTTCTGAGGCATCAAAAAGAACCATTGTGCCTTTAATGACATTTTTTTTCATTATTCTTGTCTCTTTATGTGCCATATCAGTATGCTCCTGTGTGTGCAATTTTGTGCAATGCCCACAAAGGACAGGAGAGAGCATTGGGACCCACGGAACCAGCGTCACACATGGTTGTCAGCTTCCATGTGGTTGCTGGGAATGGAAGCAGCGAGGGTTCTTAACCACTGAGCCACTGCCCCAGCCTTCATGCGCTTTTAAAATCATGCTTGCCAGTGTCACCTCCACCTCAGTGGGACTGTTGAATAGACTCTCCAGGGACAAGTGTTTTTCAACATAATTTACTACAGGTTATTCCCAACTGGAGACTCCTCTCTTTCCTCCAGTGTAGCCACAGTGTCCATCTGTCTTCAGCAACTTTTTTTAAGGCAGTGTTGTTACACCCTGTCTGTTGTGTGCTATGGAGAAGGGGAGAGATAACACTTATGGATTCCAAAGATTTTAATAAACCCCCACATAAGTGAGTCATTGATTGATCAGGGCTGCAGGACAAGGACTCAGGAACCTTGTTTCTCCTGTCAGCCCTACGCAGGGGCAGAAGTGGGGTTTATTAGCACAAAAATCACCAACATTTGTTGCTAAGTTACAGTTACAACTTTCACCTATCAGGAATTAAAGATTAGGGACTTATGTGTTTCATCACTGTCACCTGACATACAATGCAAGCCTCTTAGTCCAGTCAATCTTTCTATTGTTAGGAACAGCCATCATGTTTCTAGAAAACTAAAGATGCAAAGTGACTATTTCTATGATCTAGAGAGAAGATTGGGCAGCCAGTGGAAAGTTTTCTGCTCCCCTACAGCTTGGGAACCTGAATTTTATTTCACCCTACAGGTAAACTGGAGGCTGAAGTCAATATGGCAGTACTTAGGCCAAGGTGCTTTTGCCTGTTCTCTTCAGTATCTTAATTATGGTTTCTGTTGCTGTGAAGAGACACCATGATCATGGAAACTCTTAAAAAGGAAAGCATTTAATTGAGGTGGTGGCTTACAGGTCAGAGGTTCAGTCCATTAGCATCATGGTCGGGCATGGCAGTGTGCAGGCAGACATGGTGCTGGAGAGATGGCTCTCTACCATGGTACATGGTAGCTGATGGTTCCTCTGGCTACAGAAAGTACTCTCATACACTGGGTGGTGTTTTGCATATATATGAGACCTCAGCCCATCTCCACAGTGACACACTTCCTCCAATAAGGCCAAACCTACTCCAACAAGGCCACACCTCCTAATACTGCCACTCCCTTTGGGGCCATTTTCTTTCAAACCACCATTTACAAGTAAATGGTGAGGAGTGATCAGAATCCTGGCACCTCTGGTCTGAAGCTTTGTGAACATTAGTCATGTTAAGATTTGAAGGTCCTAGAAGGGTGAAGGCTCTTCATCTTCACTTCCCAGCATCACGGCAGGCCCCGGAGCCTTTACTAAAGACTGTCTTCAAACCCTTGTCTGCTGTCATCTGATGCTTCTTTCCATGTAAAATGTGATGGCAAATAGAAGTGTTGTCATCCTTTGTGAAGAGTATTTGATACAATTGGTTTAATTATCTTCTATTCAGTGTGATTCAATAAATATTAAGTCCTTATAATATGCTAGGTATCATTCTAGATGCTGAAGACGTAAGAGAAGTAAAACATGGCATTCCTATCTTTGTTGGACTTTTCATTTTCAGTTGTATATATGTCCATATAGGATTTAGCATGACTGAATTAAATGGCTGCATTATTACATTTTATGAAATGCAACTTTTAGGAGGATTCTTGAAGATTGGTCTAGATGCCTCTGGGATCACAAAAGAAATCTGAGTATGTGGTCTTTAGCATGTGTAGCCTGATTTAGCCTGCATATAGTTCAAGTAAATACTCTTGAAAGTCAGAGTGAACTAACTAGTGGGTGTAGGGTTTGGTTCTAGCAAAACTACCCAAGGACAAGGTCAGAATTAAGATTCTTCCTTGATTTTGTGAGTGTGTCTTCAGAGAAGTATCATTTTGATATAAATATTTGACTGTTTTCTCTTTCTTTTTTTTAACTATATGCTTGTAACTTTCATGTATTACAGCATACCCTGGGACCCTGGAGTTTGGAATTCTTTGCCTATTTCTTTCACATAATCAATGGAAATAATAATTTGAGCTAAAATGTGTGTAATTCAGACTGCTGGGTGCAACTTCATAAATCACTGCAGATTTCTATATACACCTTCAATGGATGAATAAGAACCATTCCCAGTGTGTCCCTTTTGTATTGTAATCACTGTGTTGTAATTATGTGCTGTTGTTATGTGCTCAAATTATTTGAGACGACATAAGAAGATGGTCAGTCTTCCTTGCAAGGAGTTTAAATACCAGCTTATTTAGAACCTTTAGTATCTCTGTCTGAAGTGTACTGTAATACAGGAAATCTATAGCCAGTTGGCTGTGAACTGTATTGTGGATATGTGCTAAAAACTTTGGGGAAGAGCAAAGGCACTGAAGGAAGAACACATTTGATAACATCAAAACCATAGGAACCAAGGACCCGCATCTGGTCAGCTTCATGCCTCCAATCTGTGGCTAATTAGCTTTGAGGAAAAATAAGGAGTGTATAAGGGAGATAGAAAAAAGATATTCTGAAAATAATTGTTAGTACTAAAATTTCTGTAGCTAATTTTGGAATGCTTATGTGTATTATGTCATATGCATGATAACAATGTGTGTTTCAGGTCTGCGGAGAAAAGCAACGCTTTGAGAAGTTGATGGAACATTTCAGAAATGAAGATAATAACATAGATTTTATGGTGAGTTATCTTGGGACTACATTCAACAATGCAAACTCAATTTCAGTACCACTCCCCCCCCACACACACACACACACAACACATGCCGCACTCAAGTCGACACACTACAAAGAATAGGAAAATGAGTTCAGTAGTCTTTTATAGGATGTTGTCCTTTATCTGTATGTTCCCTTTTTGGTGCTCTTTCAAGTTTTACTCATTTGATTAAAGGGCAAAATACTAATAATGTACACCAAATAAAAGGGCAAGTCATGCACTTGGGTAAAGGGAGTCAGGACCTGTTGTGAATGCCCACAGCCACCAAGCTGAGTTTGCCAGTTGTGCTGTAGAGTCCTAAGCTAGGTGGAACCTTGATGTTTTACTTTTGACCTCTGTCAGTACCTTCTCTAGACCGAATGCTCAGAGCCTAAAGTGCTTGGCCTTGCTGACTGAACCATTGGCTTGTCCTAGATGGACACAGTGCTGATGGCTCTTCCTTCCTGCTCTGGCTGCAGCACAGGCAGGAGTATGTGGCTCTGCAGGAGCCCTGTAGTCCTTAGGAAGCCACCACAGGGTGTTTCAGCACTTCTGAATTCCACCTCAGTCTTCATTCCGGGCCCAAGACCTCACTTCTCCTGCAGTGAGAAGTGTACCTCTTTCTGCAGACTTTGACCTGCTTTAGTCTTCCCAGGGGCTCCTTCTCTGGATCTCTTGGCCTCTAGAACAGGTATCCTAACAGTTCTTGCAGGCAAAGCCTGTGCTTTGGAATCCTGTATTCATCTGAATCACTGCAGTGACTGTAAGGCATGAAACACATTAGGTCTATTGTGTGAGAACTCGTTCCTTGGACCTCAGATTTATGTGCATTTTAGTTTCAGCTCTTTAAAATCAGGAAGGCAAAATCCTTTATAGAGCTTTTCTGTTCCATTAGAGCTGATATTTGCTTTTTAAATTATTTTTAAAAATGTGAAATGGTAAAACAAGTGTCACTTTTACAATGACCTTTTAGTTCTTGTTATTGGGATTTTATGTGATGCTGAAGTGGTTGATAGGTGTATGATGAGCCCTGGACATTGGCTCATTGCCAGCTTCTCTCCCATGGCTTCTCAAGAGGACCTTTCTTGTTCTGGTAGAGCCATGGCTGAGGTCAGCCTATGTACTCAAAGCATGTGCACTTGTTCACACAGTCATTTCTTCTGTGAAAAGCTTTGGGTATGGTGCATCAAAATGGATGTCTGATCTTTTTTTTTTTAATTCAAAGTACCCAACTATATTTACTATATTTAGGCCTTCCCTGTTGGCTATTGGAGTATTAGCTACTATAGCCAAGGAGCTCCTGCCTCTTTGATATAAAAAACAAAATTTGCTCTCTCTGCAATTTGTTGTGTTATGTATTGCCCGCCTTACTCATTTATAATGCCTGCTGACGTGGTCATTTGAGCTTCTGCTGGAATTATCCTAAGTTCCTTAAAGCACTTGTGCCATTTGCATACAGACTGGGACCCATTTCCTGTCATTTTACTTCGTCTGTGTCCAGGTTCACAAGGCACAGTGTGCAGGATGCTGCTGGATTCAGGGTATCATCCTTTACTTGGCTCATAGGCCGTCATGAAAGTCAGCACGTCATTTAGATTTGCTTTCAGAAGCAACAAGGAAAGACGGGAGAGTCTAACTCGATTTCTCTCCAGAAAATGAGGCCTTTGATAAACTTCCTTGGAAATTCCATTGAATTTCCCAGCTTCCCAAACAATATAGTCCCCATATTAAATGGTATAAATCCCTTTAATGTACTATGAGACTTTTTGCCTGTTGGTTTTTTTTTTTTTTTAATAACCGAAAACTGGAGAGAAAAAAACAAACAAGATTTTTTTTTTTTAACTGGAGAACCTAAACTACTTTTTCACAATTTCAAGAGGGTCCCTTTTCCACTAAGAGAATTTATGTATCTTCTAAGCTATCCAGTATATAACTGTTCTGGTTCCATGTGTTGCTGTGATGAGATGACCCAATAAAAAGCAACTAGGGAAGAAAGTGGTTTATCTGACTTGCAATTCCAGGTTCAAATCATTATAATGAAAATTCACCACAGCAGGATCGTGAGCCTGCTGGCCAACACATCACAGAAGTAGCCGAGTAGGAATGAATGCCTGTTTTCATATTTGCTTGTTTGTTTTCAGATTCATTTGTCTACTCATGTACAATTCAAGACCACTGTCTAGGGAATGGTACCACCTAGTGTAGGCTGGATCTTTTCATAACAGTTAATCAAGACATTTCCTCACTCCCCACCCCCTGCAGACATACATGCCCAAAGACTGATGTAAAGTACGTAGACCTTCATCAAGACCTTCTTCCTGGGCTGGAGACATGGCTCAGAGTTTAAGAGCACTGACTGCCTTTCCAGAGGTTTTGAGTTCAATTCCCAGCAACCCCATGGTAGCTCTCAAACATCTATAATGAGATCTGGTGTCCTCTTCTGGTGTTCAGGCAGAACACTGTATACATAATAAATAAATCTTTAAAAAAATTGATTCCCAGGTTAGTCTAGAATGTATGAAGTTGAAAATTACCATTAACTATCTCAGTAACATATATTTAAAAAAGAATTAGTTCAGTAAAGATAACAAAAATAAAAGATAAAATAAATGCAGAGGGGGAGGGTTGGCAATAAAGCCCAAAGTCAAGGACTTGCTTAATGTGCATGGGACTGAGTTTGATTTCCAGTTCCTGGGAACAAGGGAGGGGGTCAGTAAATGGTTTTCCAAATGCTTGTGAATCTGGTCCGTGATTGTTTTCCCTTCTTCCCAAAGCCTCTGCTGGGTTATGCTGTAGAGGCAAACATGAGTAAGGCATTGTTTCCATCAATAGATTGTCATTGTTGAAAACAGTATGGGTCTGTTGAAATCTGTTCCTTATTTATTAAACTGAGGACTGATTTTTTTTTTTCTGAGACAGGTCTTAGGGCCAGTCTTTTTGAGGAAGCACTGCAACCAAAGTGTTTATGATCTAGCTTTTAGAAAGATGTGAACAGGATTAGTTACTAACTTTTGGTAGGATAGAGCTCAAACTGAATTTTCTGAAGTAGGTTCAACATGGTTTGAATGTTACTCTTTGTATTAATTTCACATTTTATATGATCTATATCTCTGAAGTAATTTGTACTCTGCTCTGTATACCTATATAACTTTTTAAGAACAGCTTTCTTGAAATTAGATTAACATAGCACCTTGGAAAGTGTATGATTAATGTGTGTTAACCATTCACAGTCCAATTATAACCACCTTCATCCCTTTAAGAATCCCTATGCCATTAAAATTGCTTCCCATGTGCTCTACATTTCAACCTTAAGTATCTGCTAATCTGCTTTTTATCGATGTAGTTTGGGATACTCTGCACATTTGATATGAATGAAATCATACAATGGGTGGTCCTTTTTCATTGGCATTGTTTCATTTACCATGACATCCCCAAGTTCATCCATGTCATAACATGTATCAGAGCTTCATTCTACTTTATTGTCTTAGAATATTCCATCCTATGATTGTATTTCATTTTATTTATTCATCATTTATTATCATTCATGATAGACATTGGGTGTTTTTCCACAGTCAGTTGGTATATTTGCTATTAGAATATTTATGTTCTTTTTTATGTGAACAAGTTTCTTTATTTCTCTTAGGCAATTGAATTGTTAAGCCATATGACAAACATGGTGCTTAACATTTTGAGTAACTCATGTTTTCAAAGTGGCTGTATCATTTTACATTCTCACTAGCAAAGTGAGAAGGTTGTTTTTTTTTTCCCCTACATCTTTGCCAATATCATTTACGTTTTAAAAATTATAGCCATTCTAAGTGACTGTGAAGTAGTGTCTTGTGGTGCCTCTTTGATTCCTTTTATTAAAACTTACAAGATTTTTTCTTTGAAGATTTAGTGACGTCAAAGAAAAAGGAATTAGTGTAAATTGAGACTCATGAAATGAAGTGTGTGTTCTTGAAATGCTTAAATTGGGAGAAAGCACTTGGAGCCAATTTAACCCCTTGGAAATTTCATTTCAGGTGGCTTCTATGCAATTTATTAATATTGTAGTCCATTCAGTAGAAGATATGAACTTCAGAGTTCACCTCCAATATGAATTTACCAAGTTGGGCCTGGATGAATACCTGGACGTGAGTATCACAATCTTTTGGGGGGCCATTTTTAAGAATGGGTTTATCTCCTGTTCTCTGAGGTTCACTTCATAGTAACATCAGAATGTCTGAAGCACTGTGAGGTTAACGATTGTCGTGCTTGTTAAAGGGAACCAATTTGAATGATACAGTTTGCCAGTAAAGTTGGATTCAATACAGAATTCCTGGGACATCTGTGGGTCCACGGCCTGCAGCCCTTTAGTACTGGAGTCAGACAGCCTCTGGGAGCATTGTTACAACTTTACTTCATTTCTGAGCTCTGTCTAGATCAAGTCTCATTGCATCCTTCATCAAAACTGGAAAAAAAACTTATTTTGGGGCACTATTGAGACCCCATCTGAGCAGGCATGATCAAGCCAAGTATGGTGTAGAATGCATTAATGCTTAGAGCACAAAAATGAAGTGAGGAAATGGACACTGTAGACTTCCTCCTGCAGCTGTTAATTCTGCTAAACATGTTTGCTGCTCTAGAACCCTTGCTTTCACTTCTTGGGAGAAAGGAGTTTAGTTTCTTTTCTTGCTGCCTCACAGAAGTGCCAGGCCATTTCCCTGAAGTTCTTCAATAAAGGAACAGAATGTATAAGTGGTAGTCATAGATGTACTCCAGGACCTTTGTGTCCACTAGATATATGCCCCTCTTTGTCAGGAAGCTTTTATTTTCCCTTTCCCATGTGAATGTACTCTCTTTAAAACAAGTTAGACTGTAGAATTTCAACTTAAGCCTAAGAGAAAACTCATTTTCCTTCAGAAATTATGTTATCCGAAATTTCTCTTAAAAATACCAACCCCCTGGGGCTGGAGAGATGGCTCAGAGGTTAAGAGCACTAGCTGGTGCTCTTAACCAGAGGTTAAGTTCAATTCCCAGCAACCACATGGTGGCTCACAACCATCTGTAATGAGATCTGGTGCCCTCTTCTGGCCTACAGGCATACATGCAGACAGAACACTGTGCAATAAATAAATAAATAAATAAATAAATAAATAAATAAATAAATAAAATACCAACCCCCTAACCCTGTACTTCTTTAATTGTGTTATATTCTTGCTGGACCCTGATGGACAGAGATCATTAGAAGAAAAATATTCTATGCATCTAACATATAAATATTTTATTTGTTTTCAAAGGCAGCCTTCTTTGCAAGTGGTCATTGATATTCTTGTTAACTTACTGGCATCATCTATGTGCTGGATATTATTCTGGTCTGATATTTCCCCAGAGAAAGTCATAATGTGCCCCATGGGCGGATTGTCTGATTTTTTTCAGCCTCTAATGTCCCCTGAGAAATAGCTAGCTGGGTTGCTTTAGGTCCCTTGTTCTGGGACCCTTGAACTGGAAGACACTTTCTGATTCATGCTTTGGGAATCCCTGAGCTGTTCCTAAGGCACCATCTTAGGAATTGAATCCTGCATGGGGTCTTCTAGCACTGTGGACTGAAATAACCCAACGTTAGATATGAATACAACTGGTAGCTCCTAGCTGTACTCTGTCCCCAGCCACCAATCACAGCCCTGGTAAGATGTCCCCCACTTTACTCTTCTTCATAACACCCTTAGGGGTTATGAAGATTTTCACAGGGCTTGTAGCTATTCCATTTCAAATCCTCCTTTAATGCCTCTGTGGTCTTGATTTTACATATATATATTTTAGGCTAGAGTAGGAAGGATTTGAGGGACGTACATGCGTGTAAATGTTGCATGAATGCATGTGTATGTGTATCTGGGATATGGTCTGGCCATACCTTCTTCATAGGGATGTGCTGTAATTCTCTTGAGGATGATGTGTTAAACTCAGGTGGGGAAAAGTAGGATACTTGCAACAGAATGAGTAGAGGGTTGGATAATTACAGTCTGTGTCCACAGATAAATGAATACTATCTTCTCTGGAATTTTGGTGTTTAGAAGCTGAAACACACAGAGAGTGACAAGCTGCAAGTACAGATTCAGGCTTACCTAGACAACGTGTTTGACGTGGGGGCTCTGCTGGAAGATGCGGAAACCAAGAATGCCGCCTTGGAGCGGGTGGAAGAACTGGAAGAAAACATCTCTCATGTAAGTGCATCTCAGAGAGGAAAGTGCGCTGGCATCCAGGATGAGCTAATGCTACCTTGGATGGTAGGAAGTGGAAGAGTTTACAGTGGAGGGATAATCAGCTTCTGGGCCAGTGAGCCCTCCAATTCCCTCTGGGTCTTTAAAGAAGGAAGGTATGTCTCAGGAGAGACCTTTGCTTTGTTTCCACTTAAATCCTGTTCCATTTCTCCCAAGTCACATGCACTAGCAATCCTAGTTGCCAGCACAGAGGAGTAGGATGGTTGACAGTGGAAGGGTTAGAGAGGGAAGTGAAAAGAGGGCATCTGGCCTGATGAAGGAGTCTCAAGATGACCCACTTTCTCAAAGTGCCATCAAAGCCCAAGGTTCAGGACTGTCTCATGTCTCTGATACGATCTCCACATTCCTTCCTCAGCAATGCCTCAGATGCTAATCAGGTTCATTTTGTAGAGATTTTACCGGAAATCACTGGCTTGGTCATCTGTGGGCTTCTCTGAAGAAGCAGGTCCTCCTGGTATAATGTCAACTATACAGGGGACAGGGTTCTGATTTTCTTTAAGGGATTATTTATTAACTGCAAACAAGTTAATATGAACCCAAAAGCTTTGAGATGTTAACAAATTTAATATTGAGAATAAATTAGTTCTCAAAAATCCCAAACATTGTGAAGGCTAAATTCTTGTCCCCCCTGCCCAGCAGTGCACCTTGGGCCTCATATATGAGAGGAAGTACTGTACCATGGAGCTCTTGAAAACAAAATTCTTGTCATGATTTGATTGGAATTTTTCTTTATTAGGAAGTGAATTGTTTCTCTTTGTAAGGATATTATTTTTCACTGGGTGGTGGTAGCACACTCCTTTAATCCCAGAATTTGGGAGGCAAAAGAAGGTGGATCTCTGTGAGTTCTAGGCCAGCATGGTCTAGAGAGCAAGTTCTAGGACAGATGAGGCTACACAGAGAAACCCTGTCTTGAAAAAACAAAAGAAAAAAATTAAAAATATGTAATTTTTGTCTCTGAAGAATGCTTTTGTTTTCCACCACTTTATTTTACAGTCTTAAAATTTATATGAGTTTATTTTATCCCTTACCATCACTGAGAAGCTGGTCTCCCTGTGGCTTATAGTTAAAGCAAGGTTCCCTACTTTCATAACTGCATTGATGTGATTGGTGTCTGCTTAGTAAGAGAATTTACAGGTCCAATTATTTCCCTTAAAAGATTTGTTTTCTTTCTTTTTCTCTTTACTTCTTGCCCTTTCTTTGAAATTACAGTCTTAGCTTCGAAATGTCTTGCCTCCATGGTTATTGTTACCTGTGATTCTGTCCAGAGGGAAATCAGAAGTTACTTGGTTATAGAACTTTATGTGACAAGGAACTACTTAGCACCCAGCTTCCCTCCTCCACTCATGCCTCCCAAGCCAGCCTTCCTATATTGTCTTTTATAGAAATAACTGCCATTATTTGGGTAGTTTGGGTTAAAGCAAACCATAGCACTTTGTTTAGCAGACTAAAATAATGTGGCCATGTTTTCTGGTTCATCATTTTATAGCAGCTTTTGCATGATGATCCCTTTTTTTGGGGGGGGGTGGATAAGGTGGCCCTCCACTCTTCCCTAATATTATTTTTTTCTATTCTTGTTAGCCCCAGGACATGGAAGGAGACATGGCTGTGCATGTTCAAACATGGAGAGGCTATTGTATGGGTTATGGAGGCTACATATTATTAATTACGGTAGAAACACAAATATGTCTTCAGAAGCACAATGTAACATTTAATGTTTCCAAAAAATAACACATAGAATATATGCAAAATTCTAGTGGGCCCCTGTTTTTCTGTGACTTATACTTCTGAGGACCCAAGGATCTGGTCAGAATGATGTGTGTTATGACACTGTTTCTTTGTCACAATTTCACAGCTGTCTGAAAAGCTACAGGACACGGAGAATGAAGCCATGTCCAAGATTGTGGAACTGGAAAAGCAACTCATGCAGAGGAATAAGGAACTGGATGTTGTTCGGGTAAGTGTGCCAGCAGCAGCTACCCAGGCAGGCATGGCAGGGAATTCAGTGTGCTCCAGCTTTAGGCTGGTCCAGTGTGGAGCATGTTCATTGCAGAGGTGTGTGCCCATGCAGTGTGTTTATTGAAACCATTTCAAGGGTGGTACTCAAAAGTACACATAAGGTATGTGTACACCATGTGTGCGAAATCAAAAACTCCAGCTTCAGTATTCCCTTATTTCAAATTTTGGGAGCAACATTGTCTTCCCATCTTGGGATCCTCCATGTGGTTGTAAATAAAAACAAGGCATGGATTTGATTCATGCCACATATTTATTTTTATTAGGACTTGGACTCCATTGTATTTATTTACTTTGCTTTTACTCAAAACCAGATATTTTTGGTTGCTATGGAAACAATTCACCACACAGGGTAGACCTAAAGGTATTTACCCCAGACCAAAATCCAGTGCATTCTAGCTATTTGATTTTGCCTTACTGTCATTATACTTTAAGTGTCAGGCACTTAGGGAGTACCATCCATGTGTTTGGAACTGTGTAGAACAGAAAGTAGACACAAATGGAGGGCTTTTAGGCACATGGCTTGCCTTCACACAATGGTTAATGTGATGGCACATTTTATGTGATGGTTATTCTGACAGACACCTTTGCATATTTATTTTCTGGCATACCATCAAGACTAAGTTGTGGCATATGGGTCCTATTCAAGTTCAGACACTTAGATTATTAATGATAGCATGTGAAGAATGTTTCCATGTCTGCTGGAGGTCTGTGGTGACAGATAACACATGCAAGGCCCAGCCAGAAAGTTCAGTTCCACAAAGCCACTTACACTAGAATATCCATGGACTCTCTTAATAGAAACAGTCAAGACAGCCTTTGAATTGAATTTTAATTTTGTTTTATCCTCTAAACTATGAGAAAGATAAGTAATTAGTGGTGGGAAGCTTTGGGTTGTTTTGTTAAATGCATCACTGAAGGAAAAATATTCCAGCAGTGGCTGTCCTGAGCTCAGTCAAGGGCCAGAGAAATGGAGCCATGTCCCTAGCTTTTGGTCACTCATGAATGGGTCACCCCAGGCTTTGCAGAGTTTGTTTGCTTGCCTATTAATTATGTATCTTCTTGGGACAGGGTCTCACTATATAGCTCTGGCTGACCTGATAAATCACTGTGTAGACCAGGCTGGCCTCAAACTCACGGAGATTGGCCTGCCTCTGCCTCCACGGTGCTTGGATTAAAGGCTGTGCTACTATATCCAACCTTTGCAGAGGTTTTAATCCTAGTCTGATTTAGGGCCCTTTGTCTCTTGTTAGTTAATGCATATCTAGGGGTTATAAATAAATTTTATAATTAGTGAAGGAGAGCATCCCGAACCACCAGGATACCTGTGGGATGTTCCAAATCCAATTTGGGGGATAAAGTCATCTCTGCTCTGTCCTTTTCTGCCTATGGAGAAAATGGAGTTAATTTCCGCTTATAAAATTGAAATGACTTCATTAACAATAGCAAATGCTAGAATACATTGCATGTATTATCAGTTCAATTGGTAATTACTGCGACTCCGTAAGTTCTGTCTGAATTCCAAAGATTTCCCCAAACGTCAGAGTGCTTTCTTTCGCTCCACCCTTTCTCCTCAGTTGGTGTACCCAGTTGGCATAACTGGGACTGTCCTATGAAGTAAAAAACCTAACCAGGACCTCTTTTGCAGGAAATCTACAAAGATGCAAATACCCAAGTTCACACATTAAGGAAAATGGTCAAAGAAAAGGAAGAAGCCATTCAGAGACAGTCTACCCTGGAAAAAAAGATTCATGAACTGGAGAAACAAGGGACCATTAAAATTCAGAAGAAGGGGGATGGGGACATTGCCATACTGCCAGTTGTGGCCTCTGGCACATTGTCCGGGGGGTCAGAACTAGCAGGGGGTAACTATGTAGGACCAGTTACAGGGGCCACCTCCTCAGGACCTTCACTCCCTCCTCCCCCACCACTACCTCCATCATCAGATATGCCTGAAGCAGGTAAGATACCTTGCCGGGGAGGTAGAGATTTACCGTCTTATGCCCTTTTACTTATCTTAAGAAACATTACGTTTTGAGGAGCTGGATAAATGGCTTAGTGGTTAAGAGTATGTACTGCTCTTCTAAACATCTTGGTTTGCCTGAGCACCCATGAAGTGTGGCTTACAACTACCCATAACTCCCAACTCCAGAGGATCTGTTGTCGCCTCTGGCCTCTGCAGGTGTGCACATATTCACACACATAATGAAGATACAATATTGCTTATTGTTGTTATATATAAGTGAGGTCTACGTGCGGGTGTATGCCACAGGATGCTTGTAGAGCTCAGAGGCCACCTATGTTGTGTAGTCAGTAGTCTTCCACTTTTACGTGGGGTCCCAGGATCTAGCTAGCATTACCTGATGAACCATGTGGCCAGTGCAATTTCTCATGCTTTATGTGCACATGACATTTTCTTCTTTTCTGTAGCACAAAATGGACAAACATCACCTCCTCTGTCACCCCCTCCTCCCCCACCGTCCTGCCTCTGAGACTGTGCCAGCTACTCCTCTACCACCCCCACCTCCCTCTGCACCCCCACTGCCTGGGACTTCTTCACCCACAGTAGTTTTCAACTCAGGATTAGCAGGTAAGAGCTTGGGATGAAAACATTGGTACTGTGTGTGTGAGAGAGAAATCCTGATTTCTCTCCCTCTGGAGAGCTAAAACTGCTTTTTCAGCAGCAATTAGATCCTTCTCATCTGCACACATCCCTTATAGGGCTTTCCTGCTATTATAACCAGTATAGGGGAGATTGTCAGACATGAGAGGCACTGGCCCATGAGTAGCCTTGGTCACATTCTTCCTAGAGGAAGTTTTGACCTTGTCATCCAGCCTTCCACTTTCTTTACCTACAGTGACCAGAGCTCTGAGTTAGGTGCTAATAGTGAGTGTTACTCTTTTTTGGAGGTATTTGGAGTGCCGTCTGTAAAGGAGAACGTGTCATTATAAGTAAATGCTCCATACAGGCTTGCAGGCATGCCTTGTAAACATTTGTAGGTGTCAGTATTTGCCTGTAGTTTTAAGCTTCAAAGGGAGGTGGTACTATCAGCAGTTTCTTTATGATTTGAAAAAGCTTCCAAGTAACCCATGTCCTCCTGTACACCAGGACCTAAAGGTGGGTGTGCCTGCTGTACCGGAAATAAAAGAGACAGAGGTGAGAGAGGGGAAGAGAATTGCTCCAAAGCCCTGAGATAAGTGACTGTTTTGGACCCTTGGAAATGGAATTTTACACTTTAATATGAAGCTGTTTCAGTTAAAGTGTTACTGAGTGTGGAGTTGTTCTGAGATGGCTGTACCTGTGACAGGGGGCAGCAGTGTGCTGAGGTTGCCACCCTGTGCCATGGAGCTCTCCGCTCTGAGCTGGCTGTCCTGTGACACTGAGAACTACTTTGAGGTTGTCATCCTTTGCTACTGGGTAGCTTTCTCTGTAATAATGAGTAACCGTTCTTGAAGGTGGCTATCCCCGTGATACTAAGTAATTTCCCTTGGAAGTGGCTGTCCTTGTTGAGTACCTGCTCTGAGGTTGCCACCTGCTGGTTCCAGGCAGCTCTCCTCTTAGGTGGACTGTATAACTGTCTTAGTTTGCTTTTGGTTATTGCTGTGATAAACAACATCACCAATCCAACTTGGGGAGGAAAGGGTTTATTTTTAGCTTCCAGTTTTATCATAGAGCTAAATTGGGGTAGATACTCAAGGAAGGAAGCTGGAGCAGGAACTGATGCAGAGGCTATGGTGAAATGATTCTTATTGGCTTGCTCCTCATGTCTTGCTCAGTCTGCTTTCTTATATAAGGATGTAGGGGTGCCACAGCTTACAGTGGGCTGGGCTCTCTTACATCAATCATTAATCAGCAAAATACCCCACATCTTGCCCACAGGTCAATCTAATGGAGACAGTTTCTCAATTGATGCTCCTTCTTCCAAGATGGCTCTTAACTTGTGTCAAGTTGACAAAAACTGGACCAATGTACTAACACAGCCCTGAAGTTGCCACTTTGGTTTACTAGGTAGCTGTATTTTAGGGTGGCTAGCTGTCTCTGTGACACTAGATAGTGCTGCTCTCAGGTGGCTGTCGCTGTGATACTGGGCACTTTGCTCTGAGGTGACTGTCCCTGTGATACTGGGCACCTTGTTCTGAGGTGGATGGCTGTCCCTGGGATACTGGTCCACTTCCACCCATCCATTCTTGAACTCTCTCAGTTACTGTGAGCCACTACCCTGACAGTCTCTAGTTCCAACGCTATGATGGTCTCAGAAGTATTGACGTTTAAATAACAGTCTTTAGTTAGCATAAAGATTTATTCTTTTCAATCCATCCAAGGATTTTGTCAGCAGCTTTATCTGCCCCCCTCTACCCCACCGTGATAATTCTTCCAAGTGACTGCAACCCTTTCAGCCTTCTGTAAGTTTCTTGAAGCAGATTTGCCCACCTCAGCTCTGTGATTCTACTGCCACCCTGACATCTATAAAATTATCAAAGATACAAAGAAGATGCCTTTTCAGTTTCATGGTAAACTTGTGGCTTATTCTTCCTCTTCAAGGTCTTCCCTGTTAATACTTTCTTCTAGAGCTTTTAGTGCCTCTGAAGAGGAGAGGTGGAGGACGGTCACCGTGCAACTGTTGGATTGTGAATGTAAATGACAACCCTCACACCATCTCTGGGTGTCTGTTCTGTTACCAGGCTGTTCTTGGTGACTGAATGTGGATGCCACTGTTGTCCTGTGCACCCGGGCCGCTCATTAAGCTTTCTTTGTAGCCCTGGATGAGTATTCCCTGGGAGATGTGTCTACCATCCCTCACCTGGAGCTGCCGCTTCCTCCATTGCAAAAGCTAACATGTGCTTCAGCATCTGCTTGCATTATTCCCACGAGCTGAAGCAGAGTTCAGACACTGTGGCAGGGAAATGTGTTGTAGGCCGGGGCTGCAAATCCCAGGTAGCTTGCTTCTATAGGGCCGTGCCTCCCCCCCCCCCCAATTTTGTTTTGTCTTAAGCCTTTGCCACTATTTTTAAACTTTATTGACTCGGGAGTGTCTTAAATTTATGGTGCAGAGCTCTGTGCTCAGTTTATAACTGCTGCTCAAAGGATGCCCCCACCCCCCAGATGTCTCCATTGTTCTTATGCCAAGTATAGTTCTATAGGCGGGATTGAAGAAGTCCTCTTTATCTCATTGTGTCTGTTAATGGCTACAGGATAGATCTTGTTTTATAAGATTATAAAACCCTCCTAAGGGTTTAGTAACTTGGGATTAGGCATTTTCTTCAGGGCCTCTCATCTCCCTAATATTTATCCTTAATTTGGCTTTCAGTGCACAGTAATTGAGGCTAATTTTCTAAAATACTCTTGTTTGGTCAATGATTTTTCTCTCTGGAATCCAGAGGCCTGACAGAGTCAGGGTGTCTCAGGAGAACTAAGAGGTGGAGCTGAGCCGATATGCCCAGTACTTGTGGAAAAATCCCTGAGCCAGTAGGTCTACAGTGGCAGGATACTAGGGGAAAAGCAATCACAGCAGGGAATCAGGAGCAAGTCACTGGAGAGCATCTGTAGTTGAGAAAACTCTTTGGGTTTTATAAGGAACATTTTAGTAGTGTGAAATACTCCCTTGAAGTGAAACACACATCTTCAAGTCTGACAGAGCAGCCCGACTGCCTTTCCTAAGGCAGGCCACCTGAAGCAGGCCACCTGGGCAGGTGGCCTTTGCTCCCTGACAGGCATCAGTCCTCACACTGTCCAGCTGAGGCTGATGCTATCTATGTTAAGAACTTGTTTACAGCCTGTGGAGTAGCCAGTTCTCTAGGGCTGGTTGGAACCATTTCAAGACATACTTTGTTTTGTTTTGTTTTTTTCTATCTCCCAGAGTGGGGGAGAATACAGAAACATAAACAAAACCACAAAGTGAGTCATCAAAGGCAGGGAAACGAACTTTTGGCTTTGTGCTGCTGAAGTGTGTCCACGAAGCATGAAATTGTACCGAGTGTGTGAACTGCTGGGCCACTTGACTCTAACCGTATCTAATCTATATGTATTTTGTATTTTCTGTTCTTTCTGCTTCCACAAAAGATGGGCCAATCAAGCTTTTCTGTAGGTTTCTCATCACCAAGTGTGTTGGGTGTTTGCTGTGTGTTCTGTTGGTCACCCTGTGCTTTGACATCTCTTCACTCCATCCAACCTTGAGCCATTGCATTTGACATTGTGTCTCTAGGTAGTCGGACTGTGACTCCAGGTTTGCCCACAAACTTCGGCTGAATCTGTAGCTCCTCCTTTAGGCAGGGCCTAGATTCACAGGCCGTGTTCCATTCCTTCCCTTTGAGAGAAGGAATGTTTCTTTTCTAATTCACTTTACATAGTCTGTATTAACCTTCCCACTCTAAGAGGATTGCACCCTAAGGAAATAAGGAGAAGAAAGGAAAAACGTTGGTTGTACCTTTCCAGGACCCTCCCACTGTCTGTGGCTCATTGTGTGGAACAACTACCCATTTAAAGTCACTTTTTTTAGTTTGAGTCCTGGGGTCACAGTGTATGTCATCGTCACCTGTAGACCCCTGCTGTCTACTACACCCTGTGCCTAGCTAAAGTTAGGAAAAAAAATTTCCTTACTTCGATTGAAGAACTACCTCCCCTACCATTTCTCTCCCCTAGTGCCAAACCCACTCCCCCCCCCCCCCCCCCCCCCCCCCCACACCTGTTGTGGATGAGATGAAGGGTCAATTAGAGAAAGCCTTTGTCTGTAGAGGACATTGGTTCTCCTGGGTAGTATAGACAAAAAGTATGACCAGGAATCAAACACTGTTAATAATAGGGACATGGGTGCTATGTTTAATGATAGAAAGCCTGTTTTGGCAAAAACCGTGTCTCTGTGTTGCTGCATGCTTCTGTGTGGATTTATCTGATGACATTTCTTCTCTTTCTATGACCTTTGTAACTCTGGAGGAATGAGAGGCACCATCCATCTCCCTTTTCAGTAAACATCAATGGAGGCAGATAGCCTGCCAAATAAAAGCTTGGGTACTGGGCACCTTTGTTTTCTTCTATCCTGAAACATTGACTTTCTCTCCCCTTTCCTGATTATAATGGTGAATAGTGAGGCTCCCATTGGGCAGGTGGGGAGCCCAGAATAACTTGATGTATATCTGTATGTATGTTAGGGTTAGGTTAGGGGTAGGGGTAGGGATAGGGACAGGGGTAGGGGTAGGGGTAAGGACACACACACACACACACACACACAGAGAGAGAGAGAGAGAGAGAGAGAGAGAGAGAGAGAGAGAGAGAGAGAGAGAGAGAGAGGAGTGGTTTGGAAAGTCTTGCTTATGATGTATAACTAATACATAGAATTGTAGGCGGTTATCTTTTTAGGCTCGTTTTATTTTTCTCAAAAATGAGAAGTTTTTGCATTTATTCCCCTTAGTCCATAAATATTAGATCCATCCTCTCTGTTTCAGTACATTTAATCATTTCACTGACAATGTTTAGATAAAGATAGCTCACTACTTTAAAGGGGTTAGGGGAGTTGGAGAGATGGTTCAGAGGTTAAGACACTCACTGATCTTTCAAAGGTTCTGAGTTTGGTTCCCAGAACCCACATGGCAGCTCACAATTGTCTGATGCCCTCTTCTGGTATGCAGATGTACATACAAAATATCCATAAACATGCAATTCGGAAATAAATAAATCTTTAAAAGGGGAAAAGGGACCTCAGCATTCCTGAGAGCCTATGGTTTCTGCATACCCCTTCTGCCTTCTCTTTGCTGTTTCTAATATAGGCTATTGACAGTCCCTAGTCTATTGGAAATGCCTCAGCAACCAGTGCAATCTCATTTCACAGTCACCCACAGGAATGTATTTTCCTGGCTGAAGATCATCCTTGTTGATGGGATCTTCCTGTTGGCGTTAGGCAGTCCTCTCTGCAGTCCCTGGTCATCCCTAAGGCTTATTTGTTGACATATGTTCTAGGAACAAGAGTTGAAGACATCAGAATTTAGGATAGTATTTTCCCTCTGCTATATAATCACATTATCTAATATTGTAACTAGAAAGCAATAGTTCACCCAGCAGGTAGTGGCACATACCTTTAGTCCCAGCACTTGGAAGGCAGAGGCAGGCAGATCTCAGTGAGTTCGAGGCCAGCTTGGGCTACAAAGTGAGTTTCAGGACAGCCAGGACTGATACACACAGAAACCCTGTCTCTAAAAAAACAAACAAACAACAAAAGAAAGCAATAGTCTAATGGCCCCAATAAAACCAAATAAACTCAGTCCCTAACTCCTAGGTAGCCTTTATAATAGTCCAGTGTCAGGCAGCCAAATGGGGACCTTGAATGGCTCTGGCCAATGCCAGGTGCTTTCTATATTTAGCATCAACTGGGTACCTCTCGCCATTTTCCTCCAGTGTCAAAGCGTCATCTGCAAGGACTGTTGTCTGATTGTACCTGAAGCTTATGAGGTTCTAGATGGGACTTAATTTCATTATCTCTGACATCTCCAGCTGTGAAAATTAAGAAGCCGATCAAGACGAAGTTCAGAATGCCAGTATTTAACTGGGTTGCTCTCAAGCCCAATCAGATCAATGGCACGGTCTTCAATGAAATCGATGACGAGCGGATCTTAGAGGTATCTTTCTCCTTGGTTATAAACCAGAAGTGCTGCAGAGTGAAGGAGGCTGTCCTGTTTGCCTGCAAGCATCACTGGCAGAGATGTAATGTTTCTGTACTCTAATGTGAAGAAGAAATAGACTTGTACTGTCAAAATTAATTATTTTTTGTTTAATTTAAACATGATTTTATAAGAGGGTTCTAAAACTATGTCTAAAATGTGAGGTGAAAATAATAGTTTTGAGTGTTTGGCCACAAAATATATGTCTGACACAGCCCTGCCTGTAACTTATAAGAACATAGACAGCTTTTCTTGAATTATGCTGGGTAAGGACTAGTGAAAATAAGAGTTTTGAGTGTTTGGCCACAAAATATATGTCTGACACAGCCCTGTGCTGGAACTTATAAGAACATAGACAGCTTTTCTTGAATTATGCTGGGTAAGGACTCAGTAATTGTACTGACTGTCAGGTTTCATGGATTTAGCTTGTGGCAGATGTCTGTGTAAACCAATTATCTATAGAAGGAACTGAATTGGATTGTTGAAATCAGGATTCTCTGGACGTTCACTTCTGGCTATGTGATGGGGTAACCCACCATAAACAGGAGAAGTACAGCAAGCCATGCAGGGAGAAGCACTCAAGAGAATGGAAGGCCTATGCTTAAGAGAGTGTCTAAATGATAAGGTATTTGCTAATAGGAATGACTTAATTTTAACGTATGATCCAATTTGCCAATGTCATTCTTCTCCACCCTAGGATTTAAATGTGGACGAATTTGAGGAAATATTCAAAACAAAAGCCCAAGGTCCTGCCATTGATCTTTCTTCAAGCAAGCAGAAAATAACACAGAAGGGATCAAGTAAAGTAACATTGTTAGAAGCAAATAGAGCCAAAAACCTTGCCATAACTTTGAGGAAAGCTGGGAAGACTGCTGATGAGATATGTAAAGCTATTCACGTGTAAGTTTCTACTGGCAGAGTAGATCCTAGGGAGCTCAGCCTAAGGGAGAAAATAAGAGTTCAAATCAGCAGATGATGGAAAGAGTGGGGCATGGTGTAAGTGCTAAGATGGAGGAATTTGGTACCCACACTTCACAGCTCCCCTTGTTCCTGGTCAGCTATTGCTTCAGAATGGAGATGGTAACACCAAAGCATTTCATCAGAAGGTACTCAGGGAAGTGCCATATCCGCATGCCATTTGGCAGTTTAGAAGTTCTCAACATATGGGTCGCGACCCCTTTGGGGGTCAGACCACCGTTTCACAGAGGTCACTTACTAGATACCCCGATATCATTTATTTACATAATGATTCATTACAGCATCAAAATTACAGTTATGAAGTAGCAATAAAAATAATTTGATGGTTGGGGGTCACCACAACAAGAGGAACTGTATTAAAGGGTCGAAGCATCAGAAAGGTTGAAAACCACTGGTTTAGAAGAACATCTGTCTTGGGATAGCATTTGTTTTCTCAGCTCTGTTTTTCTATAGAGATCCACAGTAGTGCTTCCATAAAAGGGAAGTAGAGCTGAGTGGGAAAGCTTGAGGAAAGGGAGAGATGGTGATTTTCTCTGGAGGATCTGGATAGTATCCAGATATGCTGAATCCAAATTTGATGGTATCTGTGGAATCATATAGTTCAGTGCCAGCTGCAAATATGATACAGATGCATGTTTTAATTCATGACCACAGGAATGGGGATTCTTTTGCTTTTAGCACTTCCTGGACATCATAAATAAGGCCTTTTCATTTTTTTTTAATTTATAAATTGCACAGAAGGTAATGGGTTTGTTTATCTTCTAGAAAAATCTTCTTGTAGCCAGTGGTATTATTGATGTTTCCAAAATTATTTTTTTAGAATTTGATATTTTATAATTCCTGACTGGTAAGCTTACCTAACCCTGAGGGATCATTTGCTCTGATTTTGTGTCTTTGCCCAGGGTCATAATTTAATACAGTCTTCTGCAATCTTTTCTGATTTCCAATATTGAAACGTGGTGTGCAATCTCGGTTTTAATCTCACATGTCTTGTTTGCTATACTAATGTGTGGGTAATTACATTGTTTTGCTGAACCAAGTTTATCTGGAGAATAAAATAGGAACTAAGCAAATACTTGTCCAAGCTGAGCAAAGAGCTACCAAGAACTAAGATTCCTTCCAGGGATTAATACACCTACATCAAATTATATGTGTAGAATGGGAATTTGAGTTTTGTTTCCAGAGATAGCAAAGTAATGACAGAAACATCTTACAAAATTCACCAGATGTTCACAAATTCCAAAGCCTGGCCCTTGGACTGCATTATTAGCTTGTGCTCCAGCCTTAATACTGCTTGCTGCTTTCTACTCTTGATTGATTTCTAACAGCCTTAGCTACCTGGAGCCCTAAGATAATATCACTTAAACCTGAGCATGGTCTGGGCTATCAGTTAGGGTAACTGGTGCCCAGTGGGGACCAACAGCAGGATGGAGCTTCAGCAGTCCAGCTGTCTGAAACCAAGGCCTGTTGACTTGGTGGTAGATGAGCTGGATGTTCTATCCGATGGGGATAGAACACTGACCTGTTGGCGCTGATTTCAGGTTTGACTTGAAGACACTACCAGTTGACTTTGTTGAATGTTTGATGAGGTTCTTGCCAACTGAGAACGAGGTGAAAGTGCTGCGGGTCTATGAGAGAGAGAGAAAGCCCTTGGAGAACTTATCGGATGAAGACCGCTTCATGATGCAGTTCAGTAAGATCGAGCGGCTCATGCAGAAGATGACCATCATGGCCTTCATTGGGAACTTTGCAGAGAGCATTCAGATGCTGACTCCTGTGAGTTGACCAGGGCAGGCCTACAAAAAGATGGAGCCATTTATTGTTGTGCATCTCTCTGAATTACACTCAATCTAATATGGGTTCTAAAGAGTCCTTCCAGAACTTTAGAGATTACATTTGGGTTTAAGCTCTCATTTCCACAGTGTGAATCCAAATCTCTATACATGACTGTTCTCCCAAAAGAATATTGTTTTCTGTGTTTGTAAGTATCCTCTCAAATTACATAAGTACAGAGGACACTAAAAACCAGTTCCTTATTGGCAAGACTAGAAATGTGACTCTCATTTCTAAAAACAGCTCCGTGTCTTTAGTGAGCAGCAGGCTCCAGAGATTTCTGGGAGCACTGACTGCACTACCCGACGATGTTTCTTCTTTGGGACTTTGCTGAAGTAGAGTGTGGTGATGCACAAATAAATAATAGTCAGCTATCTCATTCCCCAAGTTAGTGTGGCTGAAACTTAGCCATGTCAGAAACATCAGTTTGTCCTTGGTTCTGTAGTTACTGCTCACAGTATTTGTTTGAAGCATGTTTGAACACTTTTATCCAATCTTATATTGCTGCCCTTCCACCGCCCCCTACCCTTTGCATTCTTGGACATCTCTAGTGATTTAAAAGTATGAATTGTGTATGATTAGAGGTGGTGCACTGGAAGTTGAACTATGCCAGAAGGGGCTGTTAGCTCCTACCTTGCAATCTTACCAGTTTTGGATTGGCTACAGATAAACAATTTCCTGTATTACTTGATACTGTGAGTAAGTAGTTTGCGAGAACATAATATAACGCTAGGGTTACCTAAGGCACAGTTAGTTCTCAGTTCCCAATAGTTTGCCATTTTTAACAGTCTTTCCCATCTTTCCTTCTTCTGTTTGGAATCCAGCAACTTCATGCAATTATAGCAGCATCTGTTTCTATCAAGTCATCTCAAAAGCTCAAGAAAATTCTGGAGGCAAGTGCACTTTTCTTGTTACGTTCATGGACAGCTGACTTGCCAGCTACATTCCAGCACCTGGGACGCTCTCCTGATGAATCCTACTTTTCTCTCTTGCTTTTCCAGATCATCTTGGCCCTTGGAAACTACATGAATAGCAGCAAACGAGGAGCAGTTTATGGATTTAAACTTCAGAGTTTAGATCTGGTGTGTGAACTAAAAGAAATACAGGCTCCTCAAAGGACATACAGCTGCAGAGATTTAAGTTGTGGAGGGGGTCTCTTTCGGGTGGTAGGGTGCAGTATTGGAGGAGGATGGTTCTTAATGCAGGAGGGTGAGTTGGTGTAAATTTTCTGAAACACTATTTGACAGGAAGGACCAGATACTTCAGGCCTTTCACCCAGTATTGCCATTTCCATCAATGTTCCCTCAGAAGCTGAATTATGAATACTGCATTTTATAGCAATAATTTCAAGTTCCAGTATAATGGAAAATAACTAGAATAACATTTAACACAGTGAACGATTTAGTTTTTTTAAACATTTGGGAAGACTTTTCAGACAAATAATTTTGTTTAGAAAATTAGAATGTGGTTGTGCTATATTTCATTTCTTTGTTTTGCATGTACAAAGTGCAGTCCTTTGCAAAGCCATCTTCCACATCCTCTTCGGGCTGTGCAGATCTGTCGTGGCTTCCAAGTCAAGGAAGACATGGTTAATTGATAGTGTCACACACACACCCTCCCCCAGTCATAAGCTGATGAATAGTATCTGTGTAGGGTTTGTCCTAGGACCTTCAAGGATACCAGGCATTTCAGATAGTTCAGTCCTTTCTATAAAATTGTGTAATGTATGGATTTAACCTAAACATGTCCCCCCAACTTTTTAAATCAATTGCTTCATGGCATAATGTATGAAATAATCACAAGAAAAAGTCAGCACAAAAGTAGTTTCTTCCTCAGCATTTCCTCTCTGAGGTTGGTGAAGTCCATGGATTCAGAGTACCCAGACAGGGAGCCAGCTGTATCTTTTAGATCATCAGAGCTAGAGAATAAGGGAGAACCTGCTGCCTCTACCACACCAAGCACACCTGCTGGCTCCACCTTCCACATCTGTTCTGGGTCTTCCTGAAGAGCAGTAACACCTGGGCTCTTTTCACACTGGGCTAAGGGGGGTGGCTGGATGGCGGATGCAGGCGTAGGGAGAGTTCTTGTAAGGAAGATGAGGACCTGAAGCTCCCTAGTCAGTCTACCCTAGCACTCAGAACATACTTTGTCAAGACAGCCTCAGGCTCTTTAAGCACCAAAGGGCTGGTTCTCCACTGGATACATTGAACCTTGAGGCTCCTCTGGGGATGGTTTTTGCCAATCTTTTCTGCAGTTCTACTGTTATTTACTCTGGGCACTTGCACCTTGCTCTTGCACCTAACCCTTGTCTCCTTTTGTTTTCAGCTCTTAGACACCAAGTCAACAGACCGAAAACAAACACTGTTGCACTATATATCAAATGTGGTAAAAGAAAAATATCAACAAGTTACTCTCTTTTATAATGAGCTTCATTATGTGGAAAAAGCTGCTGCAGGTACTTCCTTTCAGCTGTCAGTGTTACCTTGGGATAGTTAATATCATAGCTATGAGGGAGCCATTCCTGGCTGAAACACTCATGAGAACCCACTGCAGAAAGCAGGGCCAGTACTTCAGCCCCCACAGGCTGAAATATGTTACAATGGTGCCACCCTCCTGAGGAGCTGAATGTAGGCTGGTAGGTGATTTCTGTCAGCATCTTCTCTCTAAAGATCCAGGTCTTTGAGATGTGCCTCCTGATTGCCCACCATCACTCTTTATGTCCTCTTGCTATTGGGTAAGATAAGAGGATGAGTGGTAGAGTCTGAACTGCAGGTAGAAATGATTTTGTGACTACAACAGGCTGGAACAGACACACCATGGGCTTGCTTATGCAGCTAGCAGAGTGGAATGGTTTTCCTTTGTGTAAATTAAGGTTCTTAAGTATAATTCCTTCCGATTAAGAAGATCAAATAGCAAGACTTCCTTCCTAAGTAGTAGCACAGATGTTCTGGCCTGGACATTTTCCTTTGATAAAAGCCTGTGAGAAAAATACAGAGACTGATATGCTCACTGGTTGAACTGGTACCCAGGCTGATTGACATATGCTATTAATGTAGTCAGGTAGGACTGCCCGTTGCTTAGCAGCACTTTTGAGCACTTTCTCTGCACGTGGCACTGTCAGAAATATTATGGGGTCAAAGCTGGGGGATGCCCTTGAGAATGAAGCATTTCAGGTCTAGTAAGGGGAGAACATACTACATGGATCTGAAATCTGACCATGGGCAGAGCTGAATAACAAGCAAAGCAGATCTGGGACCAACTCGTATGATCTGGGCTCCTAAGACTTAAGGAGAGTGCCTGCTCTGGGTGGTGGCACTATTACAAGCTTTGCCCCAAATTCTTTGAAGCAAGAAAGGCTTAACAAAAGCTAAGGTTGCCTAGTGGGCTATACAACTAAAGATTAGCAGGTAAAATTCTGCCCTCTGCTGGAAAGTTACAGGGGTGCAAAAACATACAGAGTAAGGACAGGAAAAAAAGTCTTGTGCCTATTTGAACCTACAACTAAACTGATAGGCTGGATGCGGAGAGAACCTTAGTCTGAAGTGCAAGAAGTGGACACTGGAATTGTTTTCCTATCCTCTCTGCTGTCTTTGAGCCATGTGACTCATCATGGCACAGCACAGAACCTCTTTATGTTGGTTTCCGCATTGGTAAAGTATGCTACGAGAACAGTAGGATATGAAGAATTTAGTGTAGTATTTGATAGTGGCATTTCATGAATTATTCATGTTGTGCCCAAACTCTGAACCCCAAATTCACCAAGAGACCTGATCTGATGGAAAAGCAAAGAGTCTTTAATTTTACGAGTTAACACCCCCACCCCACCCCCACCTGCGTCCTGTCCCGTCCTGTCCAGTCCAGTCCATCCTACACAGCCTGTGAAGCAGGCAGGACCAGGAGCGACCATGAGCAGCACTGGGGCAGGAATATATTGGTGTAGAGCAAGGGGCGTGTCTGGGGTCTGTGAAAGCCTCAGGATTGGTGCACTTCAGGGTTTGGACAACCTGTCCTGAGTTGATTGGCCAGCAGCAGCTGCAGCAAGGTCATTATACCTAGAGCCCCTCCTATGTTCTGCGTTCCAGAGCCCTCCAGCTAACTTCTGATTGGATTGGTTCCTTGCCACGTGGAGGGTATCTAGCTTTCTAGTGACTAGAAGGTGAGGCAAGGTTGGGAGCCCAGCACATGTTGCTGAGTCAGCGGCCTTTGTCTTGCTGGGTCGTTTCTGCAGACTGTCATGGCTGCCAAAGCAGGGGGCTTGGGTGAGGGTCTGGTCCCTTCAGTGGATATTAAAGGCTATGTGTGACTAAAGCTGGGAACTACCAAAAGGGTCCTGAGCAAACCTTACAAAGTACTGAAAACTTGGCTTAGCAGCTAGACTTCCTCTCACTAGAAGTTTCCTGATGTGTTGTTTTCTCTCCATCAGTCTCCCTTGAAAATGTTCTGTTGGATGTCAGAGAGCTGCAGAGGGGAATGGATTTAACCAAGAGGGAGTATACCATGCATGACCACAACACACTGCTCAAAGAGTTCATCCTTCACAACGAGGGCAAGCTGAAGAAGCTGCAGGATGATGCTAAGATTGCTCAGGTAGCCTGAGAGAGTGAACACCTTCACGTTACCTGAGGCACAGGCTCTGGGCTGGGAGAGTGATGCTGCACTTTTCTACCATTTCCGGTGTCAATTGCTAATGTAGTTAATGTTTAGTCCCCGCCCCCCCCTTTGTCCCTGAAAATGCCTTTTCCAAGTGGGGCCTTTTGTGCTATTCTGTAGAAGCTCTCTCTGTCCCTTCTCTTTTGTTCCTGAATTTCTTCTAGTACAGGTCTGTTTGTAGTCAGTTCTGCAACATGTCAGGCCTTGGCTCCAAAGCATTGTCTCTGGAGTATAAGGTTTCTGTAGGTCTTAGACTTCTTACTGCTCTATTACCCCAGGGACCTCTGATATACAAACAAACCTGAACAGAGTACGGATCATATTATCATAGAGTGGGAGGTGTCGTGCTGGGGAACTGGAGGCAGATGTGATAGCTCTGGCTTGGGCTGTGGTGATCATAGACGAGACCTTTTGGGGGTGGGGGACGATATTGCAAGGAGTATGAATCAGGGTGTTGGGATTTAGAGTCAGGGTTGCTTCCAAGAACCTTCCTGACTTTGTGGTTTAAGGAGAGGGGTCTTGACCATAGGAAACTCATGGAAGAAGTAGCTCGTGTGTGTGTGTGTGTGTGTGTGTGTGTGTGTGTGGGTGTGTAGGGGTGTATGTGTATAGGGGTGTTGGTGGAGTTAGGGAAGAAATAGGTCTTAGAGATAAATTTCTTTGTCTAACCATTGTACTTTAGTGAGGTATTGGAAGTATTATAGAGAATCCCATGGGGCACAGAAACATCAAGGCAAACAACAATCTTTGTTTTAGTTATCTGCCCCAGAGCATCCAGTCCTGGTAATGGTACTAATGTGATTCAAGAAAAATTTTCTTCTTTTCAGGATGCCTTTGATGATGTGGTGAAGTATTTTGGTGAAAACCCCAAGACAACACCACCATCTGTGTTCTTCCCTGTATTTGTTCGGTTTGTGAAAGCCTACAAGGTAAGTAGGAGAGCACCTATATAGCCTTCTTGTCCACTTGCCCTACAGGTGCCCTTCTCCAGAAATGTCTGTGGCCTGGCTCCTCTGCAGAGGCCTCTTTGGCCTTGGGCAGCAGATCCGAGTGATCACTCTATAGCCCTGCTGATGCTGAGAGCTTTTTTAGGGCTCTCAGATTGTGATGGTTCATTTTTCCATGGAGCCATGCCTGGGCCTCAGCAAGAAAGACAAGGCAGTTGGCTACCTGCTTGGGGCAAGGGAGATGCTCCATTAGCCCTGCTGCCCATTGTTGAATGTTGACCCATGCAAGCAAGGTGAAGGGCATAGAAAATCCACACCTATATGGAGTTGTTTGATGGGCCAAGTGATCCAGGACGTGTCAGTAGCACTGAAGTCAGGGAGATCCTAGGTGTTGTTTATAGACCAGATGTGGAACCCACAGATACTGAAAATCAACCCTGGAGTTCTCTGTGTTTAACACTGGTCATGTTGGTAGAGTTAAGAAGTTTGTTTTGTTTTGTTTTTTGGAGACAGAGTTTCTCTATGTAGCATTGGATCCTGTCCTGGAACTCATTCTGTAGACAAGGCTGGCATCGAACTCACAGAGATCTGCCTGCCTCTGCCTCCCAAGTTTTGGGATTAAAAGCATGTGTCACCACTGCCTGGCTAAGAAAAATATTTTAAGAAGAGAATTTGAGCAGTTTATACACACCTTTGTAAAAAAAAAAAAAAAAACCCATGGAAGATATAAGAAGTATTTTTGTAAAATGAGTAGAGGCTAATTAATTCTGGGCCTATTACTCTAAGATTAAAGTATTTAGTTACTTCCTTTAGCCAATATGGTGGTCCTATCATAAGCTGAGAGCTTAAGGAAATTAGGCTTAGAAAAGGGTGCACAAGGCATGGGATGGGAGAAGGCCACTGCCTTCCAGATGATGTTAACTGGTACTCTGTAGTCCCCTTGGGGCCTTGCCATGCTGATGAGCTGCAGAGATATCCCAGGAGGCTCCTGTGCAGTGCTATAATCATATTTCTTCACATGAAAATTTCTATGCCTAAGGTCAGAGGAGAAATTGTATGTAAAAATTACCTGGGAAGTTCTGGGATTGCTTTCCAGAGCTTCACTTGGGACATGTATGGAACAGAGGCAAAGAAAAGCTGCTCTGTCCTCAGTGATCTTTGGGATGTTGTGGTCAAGCTCGTTTACAAGTATGCCCCTCTGCCTTACCATTTCTCCTTGCAATCAATGTAATGGATAGTGATGCTATGGAATACTTTGTCCTACATACAGTGAACAACATGCTTGCCTGGTGCTGACCATGGTGCAATATGAGAATTTAAGTGATATTGGGAAGTTAATACACTGACCTTTTTTTCCTTCCTATGAGCCAAAAGGAAATGTAACAAAAGCAAGACATATATACACACATATAAAACTCAAAGAGTAAATAAGATTTTGTTTTAAAGAAGGGAAATAGACATCAAAATGCAAATCTACTGATAGAATGGAACTTGTCACTTATACTCAATCCCTAAACCAAACAGATGACCTTTCCATCAGCATATGGCTCAACAGAAGTCTCTTGGGCAGGAATGACATCAAGAGAGTACCCAGAGAGCAGAATCCATTCTTTCTAAGTTATCAGATCAGTCATTCTGACTCATTTGGAGAGTTGTCGGGAGAAGCCAAGAATCCTATTGTGGGATGGCCCTTTTGGGAGTGTAAGTCCTGGAAAATGGAAGTTTTCTCCAGCAAAGATGGGAGGGAATCTTGGATCCTTCTCTCAGAGAAGCTGTTATTAGGTGGGCAGATTCTTGAAGAAATTGAGACTCACTTGAAAATCATTAATTTGTACAGGTCAAGGAAGATCAGGGAAGTTCTTTTAGTTAAGGTGTAGATCAGCTGAAAACATGAAGCCTTGTCATATCCAGACAGTGCAGCACAGCATTGGAGTAGAATGTGGTCACGAAGGATTTTCTCTTTCACTTCGGTTCCCAAACCATTATGGATTTTTCAAATGACTTCAAAGAATCTTAACTGTCAACATTTCCATTTATGTAATTTTCAATCTTTATTTTAAAATTGCATTTCCCTAGCAAGCAGAAGAGGAAAATGAGCTGAGGAAAAAACAGGAACAAGCTCTCATGGAAAAACTGTTGGAGCAAGAAGCATTGATGGAGCAGCAGGACCCAAAAGTAAGTGTCTGCTTCTGAGATGAGCCTGAATGAAACCTAAGTAGAAGGGGTAAGAGCTGACTTGCACTCTCGAGATCCTGACCACAACCTTCCGTTGGCATGTGGAAATTTTTCCCCTTCCATTACTTTGTTCAATTACTTCTAGAATCAAAGGGTGCTTGTAAAATACCTCAAAGTTTTCCATGGTGTCCATGGGTACTGACTTTCACCAATGGCATCTTTGCTAGGAGTTTTGGAAGGAAGCATTTCATAAAGGGAGGCAGGCTTTTGCTGCAAGGTGAGAATTCTGTTACTATTACCAGTTATTCTGTGGCCACAGAACCCAGCCTTTATCAAATTGAAGAGAGGGCTCAGTCAATAAAAACTTGCCTTGCAAGCATCAGGACCTAAGTTTTATCTCCAACATACATACATACATACATACATGCTGGGCATGAAGGTGGATGCTTGTAATTCCAAAGCTTTGGAGGTAAAGACAAATGGATAGAGCTGGTTGGCCAGCTAGACTATCCTACTTGGTGAGTTCCAGGTCAGTGAAACTCTTGTCTCAAAAAGCAAGGTAGGTATCACCCTTAGACACACATGCACACCCTTTACATTGCTGTCTAGTCGGGTTTTGTGTGTTCATAGCTTTAAGTTTTTATTGTCTTCCCAGAAGTTTCCTAAATTTTTGGTATTGAAGCAGAATGTTGGGATGGTGGTTATCTGTAGTATTGACTCTGGCTGTTCAATATAAAGCTTAGGCACACTTTTCTTAAAGTTTTCTTAAAGTCCAGAAGGGTATTGGTGTCATCAGTCTCTCCTTTTCTTCTCAGTCTCCTTCCCATAAATCAAAGAGGCAGCAGCAAGAGTTAATTGCAGAATTAAGAAGGCGACAAGTTAAGGATAACAGACACGTATATGAGGGAAAAGATGGCGCCATTGAAGATATTATCACAGGTAAAGGGTATTTTGTCTTTGTGGTCTGTAGTGATCATACTGCCTCACAGGAGTGGGACCACATACAGATATTGCAGTTCCTTTTGTCAACAGTTGGCAAGCTCGTTAGTTGGGTTAATGAGATTTAGAATTATGAGGCAATATTTAAACTAGGGCTTGAAGTACATTTTTATTGTTTGCTGTCCAACACCCTGAACAATCTTGACCCTTCTGCACCTGTGGGACCCTAAGTCTTCTTCCTAACAGTTTCTCCTTGGCTTTGTCATACTTTGCCATTTTCCACCTGTGGCTGTACTAACAGCCAATGCAGGCTTCTCTGACATGCTTTTTAAAAACCTGTTTACTCATTCAAAGTAGCAAAGCCAACAGGAAGTTATATTCTCATTTGGATGAATCCATAGGGTTCTAGCTCAGAACTGGGGACTGATATCAGCTAGTTTCATGTTTTCTGCTTGAACCAATTCTCCAGGGTTTTTTTTTTTTTTTTTTTTTTTTTTTTTTTTTTTTTTTTTTCCCATTTTCCCGGGTTTTTTTTTTTTTTTTTTGGTTTTCAAGACAAGGTTTCTCTGTGGCTTTGGAGGCTGTCCTGGAACTAGCTCTTGTAGACCAGGCTGGTCTCAAACTCACAGAGACCTGCCTGCCTCTACCTCCCGAGTGCTGGGATTAAAGGCGTGTGCCACCACCGCCCGGCTCTCTCCAGGTTTTTATACTGCCTCTTACTGACTAAGATACTTACGCCACGGGCCTGTTTAGCAGTGGCAGTAAGTGACTTTTCTTCAATGTCATTTGCACAATGAATGCTGTTTATCAGCTAAGCTACTTAAAGCATTTTGCTCATATATGGTAAGGTTTAAAAATATGTTAAAGTATAGACAGTCATAGGTCTAGGTGTTCCTCACGAATCTCAACAGTAAACCATGGTCACTCTTGTTACTTGTATATGTTAGTGCCCCTATTCTCCTCCTTAGGATCCAATCCCTGAGTCTTTTTCAGGCATTCCCATAAACTATAACTTCATTTGGAAATATTATGCTCATAAAATAAAGCAAAAATAACCACATTGCTTTTTATCACACACTCAAAAACTAAACAATTCCTTAATAGTAAATGTGTAGTTATTATTCCCAAACTCTAGTTTTTTGTTTGTTTTGTTTTTTGTGGTTTTCCGAGATAGGTTTTCTCTGTATTGCTTTGGAGCTTGTCCTGGGACTTGCTCTGTCGACCTGGCTGGAGTTTCGAACTCTCACAGAGATCCTCCTGCCTCTGCCTCCTGAGTCCTGGGATTCAAGGCGTGTGCCATCAATGCCTGGCCCAAACTCTAGTTTTTTAAAAATGTAACTGCCTGAATTTTCTCATAGCTTATTAAGCATTGAGAATAGGGATGTCAGGTTTTTTAAACCACCGAATTTTTTGACCATCAGGGAAGTAGACATGTCGATTAGACTTTAAGTCAATAAGGAATTCCTTGCCTGTTATTAAAGCAGCATAAATGACTAGTAGAAATAGCAATCTCTTCTCGGTGTGCACATGTACTTGTGTCAGTATGCACTATGCAGTAGCTTGCAGAATGCCCTTTGTGGGGCATTTCTCTGCCTCCTCTGCAATGGGGAAAGCTCTACTCTATGCAAGACTAGCAATGGATGTCCATTGAGGCAAACAACTGAGTGCCACAGCAAGTTTAATCCAGATTAGGGAAGCATCCAAATTTGCACAGTAAGAACTCAAGACATAGGCTGGCTTTACTGCCACACACCTGTAATCCTAGTACTTAGGGGGTTGCAGGAAGGAAGATGAGGAGACCAAGGTCAACCTGCCTCAAAAACCAAAAGAACCAAAATGTCCTCCACCTTACTTGAAAAATAGATGACATATCTGACATTTGTCCATTACTTCAGAATAGTTTTTCCTTGGACCATTTTTAACTTCCTACTCCCCACCAAGTCCCAGATTTTCTTCTAGACTTTAGTGTACTGGAATACATATTGCCTTCTCTCTTCTTTCCTCTTACACTAACCATGTACTAATGCAAAAGATCCTGGCATTTTACTCTCATTTGTTGTCTGGCTATTCTCAATGCAGTGCTGAAGACTGTGCCCTTTACTGCTCGCACCGCCAAGCGTGGGTCTCGGTTTTTCTGCGAACCTGTTCTCACTGAGGAATACCATTACTAAACTATTGCTCTTTGTCACCTGATATTAAAAGGTTGCTGTAGGTTTTTTTTTTTTTTAAAAAACCTCTTATTCTACCCCAAACCCCTGTGTCTTAGGACCAACTATGTTAGCATGGAATGCCATCTGCTTCATTTTACATTTTGTGTTGTCTTCATGTTGCATGGTTTTGTATTTCAATCATTACTGTATACTCACTACCACTTTCAGCACGTGTGTAACCACATTCCTGCAATGACATGGATGTGGGTGACAGTTAATAGAACCACTTTCTGGGGCTAATATCTTTGGGTGCAAAATGATGAGCAGTAACTACTAAGGCCAATGTCTAACAAGTTTACAGATAACACCTTTCTCCACAACCCTTATGCTGAGCTAACTTGGCACTAAAACAATGTTCTGTAAAGTGCTCAGCAAATGAAAGGGGCAGGGAACAATGAGGTGGCTCCATGGGTTATAGTGCCTGCCACAAAGCCTGACAAGTAAGGTTGAGCCCCAGTACCCACATGATAAAAGGAAAGAACAAATTCTGGCACCTGAACCAAGGCACGTATTGCCCCCACCCCCAACTTACTAAAATCATCCATACTATGTATGAAAATGAGAAAAGTTCTAAAGCGACATTTACACAAGGTCCTGTAGTAAACACAACTGCCAATTAGGCCTCTCTCAGGTGTCTTATATAGTCCTAGGTGTGCCAGAACTCAATGCGAGCTTTACACTGGGGACCCTTTCAGCATATAGTCTTGAAAACACTGACATCAGCAATTCATGACCCTGCAACTCTGCCCTGGGCAGGTGACCTCTATTCACTGTCATGCCCTATTTCAGCTATCTGCAGCAATTAAGACTAAAGAGCTCCTCACTGTCTTTCTCATATCTTTCATTGGTAACTCTGTTCCATGTCAAATCGGAGTATTACTTTGTGATGAGGTCACAGCTAGTTCTGCTTGTTAGGAGAGTGGCAGCATAGTACATTCACCATTGGAAAAGCATTTCTCATAGCACTCAAAAACTGGAGAGGGATGTAAGATTTCCTGAGCTTAGTGTTTATGTTTAAAATGGAATAAATATGTGCCTGTGCATAGTTGCTTACAAAAAAGACAACATACTACCAATTGTCAATAGCCATTGACTGGCTCCTGTGCTGAGATTGACATGGAACTGGGTTATGTGTTTTGTAGTGCAACTATTCCGTGAATTGTATTTGCTAGGCGTGCTTGTCTTTGAATCAAAAGATGTCACTGTCATTGCCTGCTCTGCAGTGTACTTACCCACCAGTGCTCATTAACAGGCTGAAAACTGTCATCATCTGCTTGGCTGTTTGCTGCTGGACTGTCTATCCTTCTGGAGCCAATCTTCAAAGCAGCTTGAAACTGGGTGATCAGGGCTGGGTGGGAAGACACTCATCCTACCCTTGTTTTACCTAACACAACCTGTAGTAAAGCCCATGGCCTCTGTTAGCTAACATGCCCAGCAATGTTGAGCACTAAGTTGAGTTGCTTTCTGTTTTCATCCCATTTTTACTTAACCATCATTTTGTGTTTTTTTTTGTTTTGTTTTCTGTTTAGCCTTAAAGAAGAATAATATCACTAAATTTCCAAATGTTCACTCGAGGGTAAGGATTTCTTCTAGCACACCGGTGGTGGAGGATACACAGAGCTGGCAAGCATCACTTTTTACTTAGCTTCCTCCTTTCTATATGCAGTTCGATGGTTTTTATTTATGGTGAAGGGTAATACTGGTGAGAATCTGACCAGTTTTTGTGCCTCATGTTAATGTGTGGCTTTTTCAGATGGCTTTCCCATTCTTTTATGATGGCTTGGCAAAATAGTTGATTGTATTTGCTTCTCTTAATCCTTTTTTTGGTCAAGTTAGTTAACTCTGGTTTTATCTGGATGGGTACAGTGGGTATTGGCCAGGGAAGATGATCTACAGATTTTGAAAGACTCAGAATTTTGCAAATAATTGATTTGAGGATCTCCAAACTACAGGGTCTTGGAGTAACTATGTGCCTATATTTTAGTTAGACTGAAAAGAATAGGGGAAGGGCCACATTTGCAGTGATTTAAGAGTCAGAAGTCAACAAGCCTGTTGGGCCAAACCCAAGAGGATAGATAAAGTCTGTCTGACCGAATGAACTCCAGTTTGATTTTGCCTTGTAGTAATGTTCACCAAGTATTGGTTTCTGTATAAATTATCAACTTAAATATTAGGTGCCTATTTTAAAAGATTGAATTTACATTTTTTGAATGTTGCCTAGTGTAAGTCTACAATACTATCAATTTGCCCTTTAATTAGTATTTATTACAAAACCTGCTTTTTGTAACATCTTAACTCCATCAAAAGGCTGTACACACTAGACTCCAACTTATTCATGAAAGCATGCCTTCATACTAAGAGTACTTACCTAAAATTCATGTTACTTCATTTCATCCCACTAAAGTAATGTCTCCTTCAACCAGAATGCACTAGTTTGACTTACTCCTTCACAGCTTTCTTTTTAAGTGTCAAGCATTCTGCCTTGCATTAGCAATAGACTGGGTCTAGGGCCCATTTTCCCCATAGATTGGAGCACAAACATAATAGACGGCAGGAAAGACTTAGTGAAAGAATGAGGTATTACTTCTAATTCATAAAAAGCTGTCTGCAGCTACCTAAAGAGGTGCAAACAACAGAACCTGTTCCTGCAGTTCTTCCTGGCTTATTCTTAAAACTACAAAATTAAAAGTTTGCTTTGTGTGTTTTGCAGTAAAATCACTGTAATCATTTTTAGCATTTGAGATTCTCAGGAAGAATTTAGAAACATTTCAAAATATTTCAACCAGCTAAGATACTGACCATGACAGAAAATCTCTAAATCTCAGAATCCTACCAGTATTACATCTTATTTTAATTGTAAATACTAAAGGCAAATGTCTTTGGGTTTGCTCACTGGGTTTGAAGGACCCATTAGTTGACTTTACACAAGCTGCTTTGACTGGCTGCCAACTGGCCTTTGTCTTGCTAAGACACACTTGAGGTTACTGTTTTTTAAATGGCATTTTCCTCTTTACAGATCTTAGAAACCAACCATATAGACGAGCCGATGCGGTGAGACGAAGTGTGAGGCGGCGCTTTGATGATCAGAACTTGCGTTCTGTTAATGGTGCAGAAATAACAATGTGACCCAGAGACCAGCCTTCATGAGAGGGTGCATATGAAACTGCCCTGTGAACCTTTTGTGCTACCATTTAACTGCAGCCTTGGATACAGATAAAATTACCTTAAGGGCTCAGATTTAGTAAATACATAGGGATTTAAAAATGGGTTCTCCTTTTAACCCCTGTTAACAAGTGCCTAAAATTGGAAGTAACTTGCTCAGATTAATCAAAGCAATAGAATTTGACTTAAATCTTTTTACATCCATATGTTATTCAGTTTTTTAACCAAAATGTAAATTTCATATTAAATTCATTATTTGCCATTGTGATTGTTCCTTATGGCCCACCCTGGTTTCCTGGCAATTTGTAAATAACTGGGATGTATCTGCTATGGGCTTCCTTTGCTGAGAAGTCTTCTAAGAAATTGTTTGTTCGAGCCATATTCTTCAACTGTATTTTTAAGGACTTGTAACAAGGGAGAAGGAAACTGGCACAGGATAATTTCTTTCTATAATTAAGCCCCAGCAAAATACAAGATGCAACTGCAGTGCCACTAGAAGTCTGTCTTGTCTCATGTTGTTTCTGTGTAAGGGTACCACGCACAAAGGCATTCACTTGTATGACTGCAAGATGGCATAAAACATTGTATAAAACTTAATTGCAGAAACTTTTTAAGCTAGAGGCAGCTTTTAATAACACAAATATATTTATTAATTAGCACTAGAATTAATTTCCATTATGGGTCAATAGTTAAAATAGAAATTGGTGCCTTGTTAGTCAGGGAGAATTTACCACAAGCTCTATCAGATAAGCATTCAAGATTACATGTGGTAGTGTAATGTTGGAACTTGGCCTTATTCTCTTCTGACAATCGAAGGGTCTTTTTCTTTCCTTCTGTAAACTGAAGTATACTGATACAGCTGACATTAAGTTATCAAGGCTGAATTGCTTTTGCATTTCTCACTTATGAGAATTTCCAATTAGAAAATTAATGTTAAGTTTAAATTATATTGATAGGGTTAAATGGTTAAATCATTTATTTTTACTTCCTCACTGACAAGGCATTTTGATCCATTTCAAAGTCAAAGACTGGACTAAAGCTAAATTTTCACTTCTCATAATACATATTCTGCTTCTGGCTTACCTTGTTGGTACATCAGTATATTAATTGTAAAAATTATGTATAGTATTTAACCACTGAATTTGTGTTCATGTGAACCCCTTGGTGAAGGTCCCCTTTTTTCATGGATGTGTAGTTATATGACCTTTTAAAATGTACAGATATTTTGCTATAAGATTGGTGCAGTTTTTTTATGGTTTTTACACTTCTTTAATTCCTACCTAAGTCCCTGGGTAATCCTGTAAATATTGTTTAAAAATGCTACAGCCTATGCTACACAATCTGAATGTTACTTTAACTTATAGTTTTTTTTTAAATATATATATTTAACTACAAGGACAGTTTAAGAGTCAGTTACCACATTTCACAATAGTAGACCTATTTACAGATCCCTTTTAAACTGCCACCGCTGTTACATTCATAAATGTATCGTTTAAAAAGAACATGCCAAGATTCCTGCTGTCTTTTTTTGAGCTAGCATCAGACATTTAATCAAAAAATTCAGCTATTTCCAAAGGTGTGTATTTGCTCAAATTTTCTCATTTCCCAATACACAAAAGAACAGTAATGTTGGCATATTCTTTTGTCTGTCTATTAATGGTCCTGCTTCTTAGCAATATTAGAAATGTTTTATAAAAGCAATTCATGTTACTTTTCTGGTCTTTTCATGCCATTTGAGCAAATAAACTATTTACACTACTATTCTGTCATATGCTGTAATCCTTGAATTGTGTATTTTATGGCTTTTAAAGAAAAGCTTGTTATTTTAGTTGAGAATCCAAAGATAGAAAAGTTGCTCCCCATGTGCTTTATTACAAAACAAACAAACAAACAAAAGAGGTTGTACGTATGTCCAAGCTAAGAACACAAGCCTTTCTTGCCCCAGTTTCCCATATGCTGTGGTCAAAGGAACCTGGCTTAACCATTCAACACATTTAGATTATTTTATGACCTTAAGTATAGCAGTAAAGTTCAAAGGAAATTTGGTTAGAATTAGAGCTTTTTGTTATTAGTGGTTTTTGTTGTTTTGCTGGGATCCAACCCAGACCCTTGCATATGCTAGGTTCTACTACCAACTAACTCAGAATTGTGTGTGCTTTAACCCAGTGCTCTTGCTCAAATACACACAAGTCAATGCAATGCCCCATGACCCTTCTGAGTCAATTTCTACGGGGCACAGAATATAACCTAATATCTCTGACTCTGCTTTGGTGTTCAACAAGCAGTTTGTAAAATTGGGTAATTTCTGCTGAATTGCCAAAATTTACAATAGCAGATGAATACTTTTAGAATACTAGTCTATTCAGTATATGCTAAAATTCTGTGCCCCCCACCCCTCAGGGATTCTCTGTATAGCCCTGGCTGTCCTAGGACCAGGCTGGCCTCAAACTCTGACAGCTGCCTACTTCAGCCTAAGTGCTAGCTAGTATTAAAGGTGTATGCCACTACACCTGGCTTTTACTCTACTTTTTATTAGATATACAAATATAATTCATCAACACAAAGATTCATTTTTCCAACTCTTTAAAATTGTTGGCATCCATTTTCACGAAAAGATTTGAAGAAAGAACACAAGCATGAGGTTGTGTTGATAAGACTTTTCTGGAGAGTAAGGTCTAACTTTTTAAGTCAAGTACTGCACTGAGAAACAGGGTTGTGAGCACTTGAACCCACAGCAGTTCTTTTAAGCAGAGACTTAAAAGAAAAACGTCGGACACAAATCCAACTTATTTAATAAAATATGCCATTTTTCTATTTACAAAAAGTCTACTGTTAATTAGACCTTACTCTCCAGAAAAGTCTTTTTAAGTCAAGTACTGCACTGAGAAACAGGGTTGTGAGCACTTGAACCCACAGCAGTTCTTTTAAGCAGAGACTTAAAAGAAAAACGTCGGACACAAATCCAACTTATTTAATAAAATATGCCATTTTTCTATTTACAAAAGTCTACTGTTAAAGCTACGAGGTTCTTTACAATCAAGAAAATATATGAACAGAAGTAAAATGTCTGGTGATTACATAGAAAAGAGAAACCTTTTCCCAATTACTCACCTTTTGGAATAAGTCCTCTGTGCAGGTGTAGAGCAAGGCAAGAAGACTAATACCTACCCAAAATTTTAATAGTCAGGACCAAAAAACAAAAGGTATCAGTAACAAGTAGATAATGTAGCAACAATCACAGCAGTGTCAAACAAAAAATGGCTTAGCTGTGATCTGCTCCATAGCTTAGATGGAAGAGCAGGGCTAGCCTGTGTCTCTGAAATGTAAACATTAATTGCACTAGGGTAATCACTGTCCAAGTTCAATTACATGAGATGGTTTTGAATTACAATCCACTTAATCTCAATTGTAGCTTTGAGTACAGCAGGTTTAGGGATAGCATCTTATTAAGGAACTTTAGACAAGGAAAATAAATTAAATGGAGGACAGCTAAGCAAATAATATGGCATCTTTCATTCTCACTCTGAAGTAATGGAATATGCTATGTCACCATGACTCATCACCTTTTTAAAAAGCCTAAAATGTTTGCTTCTTATAAGTTTGAATTTTATGTTCTCATTAAGCTTTGGACACTTCCTAAGTTATAGTCACTAGTGTTTTTTTCTTTTTTGGTAACTTTTCAATGTGGCATCAGTTTAACTGCAATGATGCCTGTTTAAGCCCTGTAATAGGGAGAATGGGAGGCTAGATGAGTCCATGTGTCAAATGATAGTTTACAAAATTTATACCTACTTTTTTTTTTTTTTCCAAGACAGGTTTCTCTGTGTAGCTTTGGAGCCTATCCTGGCACTCGCTCTGGAGACCAGGCTGGCCTTGGACTCACAGAGATCCGCCTGCCTCTGCCTCCTGAGTGCTGAGATTAAAGGCGTGCGCCACCAACGCCCAGCTTATACCTACTTTTTTAAGTGTCTAATATGTGTCAGGTACAATCCTAATTAACAGATTATATGTGCATACATAGTAGTGAAAGAGATAAATCCCAGATGAGGAATTTCCATGCCTACTAGTGACACCAAAATAAATGGAGGACTTAAACAGAGAATAGTCATTGTTAGTCTGACATATGTCATCATCAGAAAACATAAGCTTCTCATAGTTCCATGAAAAAAAATCACAGCATTTTTTTACATTTTTAAAATAAATCAAGTGTAGTTTAACCTAGAAGAAGGTGGGTTCAATTAAAACTCTGATACTGAGAGATTCCTCAAAGGAAAATGCATTTAAGGAATTGGTCTAGTGTCGTCATTTCTATTAGATTGTTTTAAGAACTTAAAAACTTTTATTCAAGTTTATATCATTTTATGTTAAAATTCTATAGTCTTAGAGCCAGTCTTCATAATTTTTCCCTAATATCTGATTAGAATGCTTACATAAAATGTAAATCTATTTTTTCTCTTCTGGATGCAAAATGTCTAAAGAGCACTTAGTCAACTTTTAGAACTGGAGTAAAACCAGGAGCATTTAGCAAATGCTTAGTAAAGTATTTAAATGAATGAAAGCAGTACACTACAATCTGAAACTACATATAGTTTACAGAAAGACATATACAGACTTCTTTGCTCTATTATCATCACTCTAAATGGATTGTCTTACTCTAGGAAGATCCTTTTTCATTTCATAGGTATTCAATATCAGGCCTCACTTAAGAAAAATCCAAAAGATGAAATAATTGTGACTGGACAATTATCAAACTTACCACCAGAAGGCACAGAAAAAAGTTTTACATGTTGAAAAAATAGTAGTAACTTTAAAAAATGAAATCAATGGTCCTATCACATTTAAATTCATTTGGGAAGATTGCAAATAAACTTCATGCTGAATTGATTATACTAACTTCTCTTACAAATTTTCCCAACATAAAAGTGATGGAATAGGAGAAAATAAGAATATCAAATGCCTGAGGCCATGATTTTGCCTGACATTAGATACATTATCAAGCTACATAATAGTGATGCTAAGAAAAAGATTTCCATAGTAGTATACTTCTAACTGAAATATATAAACAGTAAATGCTTTCCCATTTGAATATATCAGATTCAACTCTAGAAGAACAACTTTTGCCAACTGAAGATTTAGAAACATGATCTACTGGATTTAAAATATTCAAAGATTTAGTGCCTTCACACTAAATTTTTGTAACAGCTAAAGTTAGTTTGATGGGATAATCAAGAGGAGACAATGGAATAGATTTGACTTACATGTTTTATAGCAAGGATATTACATTTCCAGTTTCCTAAAGTAAAAATTCAATACACTGATATAAAACTATTTAAATCAATAGGGTTCTGTTATGATACTGATCTGTTCACAGTAACATTCACAAGAACTGCCTTTAAAAATCAGTTTAATCAAGATAATTAGTTATGTTTTTTGCTATGTCTGATTTGCATAGGTTAACTGCAGGGATTTTATAAGTTGTAATGTTTTGTAGGGATCTGAAGATATGAAGAAATTATAAGAAATACAGAAATCTATTTTGAGGACATGCTAGAACACATCAATATCTTTTTATTCAAATATATCAAAAATTTAAAGTTGTACTTTAAAAAATCATCATTCATGGACTAAAACATGTTTTACAGACTCTAATTTCTCTTAGGAAACATTACTGGTTTAGCTCCCAATATCATATGCATGATTTAAAGACTATCTCTGACCTCTATGTCAAGTGTCAAGTGCTCAGACTCATTGGCAATCCGACTATTGCTAAATTGGGACCTCTGAAAATTAAATTCAATGAAATTCTGTTGCCAAAGTTGCTAGGTATTTTAAGTAACATACAATGGTGGACTAATCTCAAACAAGCAATTTGATTACTTAACATTTTCTCAAAGATAAGGATCTTTTCCACAAAGTCATGTCTTATTTCACAACAGAAAATGACATGGCAATGAGAAGTTTAGGAACAAAATATCTCCCTTTTCAGAGTTTTTAAACAGTGGCCACTAGATTTAATACACTGGACAGGATGGAAAAACAGCTGTACTAAACTGTTCCAACTCATTTAAAGGGCAATGAAACAATTTATACTCTAAATCTCAACTTGAAAGAGACAATCCTCAGCAAGTCCAAATTAAAAGAACAAGATAATACCCAAGATGATACTGAAAATTAAGTGCTAAATTATAGTTAAACAAAAACACACTTAAAAAAAAAAACCCTCCTGCACTGAAGGAAAATAGTATAAATCACATTACTAACCTTCAAAAGTTAGCATGTAAAGAGTATTCTATCTTTAAGCCATTGCTTTCTAAAACATTCCATAGGAAATTTATAGGTGAAAACACATTTAAGGACCTCAGATGCACTGATTTATGTTCATAAATATTAAAAAAGAAGAGTAATGTAGCTATCATGGGTAGGATGAAACAAAATTTCAGGGATTTATTATATTGCAAATGATCATACAATTTCCTTAGAGCTGAGTAGTTTATGTAGAAATAAACACTAATGCACACTACAAGAGAAGGTTTAATAATAGATAAAAATGTACAAAAATATTGAAATCAGAAATGCTTTAGACTGTGTACCATGGAGTCAATACTTCTCAGTGAGTAAGGAAGGCAATTTACAACCTCCTCAATGGAATTAAAAACAAAACAAAAAAAGTGAAAGAGAAAGATTGGATTAAAAATTCAAAGAAAATGTTTAAGTCAACATTGATTTCTTTCCCCCCCACAAGGATATTTCAACTATCACCC